TATTAGAATAGCATTAAAAAGAATATACAAATGTTAATAATTGATTTATCAATTTTTTTTTTATTTCCTTCTCCCTTCAGGACTTTTTTCTTTATTCTCATCTTCATTACTAAACCTAAACATAAAAAAAATGCTGGCCTTATAATGAAGAAAGGGGTCTCTTTCAAAATAGATGATTTTAGGGCCACTGGGTCAGGGGTATCAGGGGGTACTTTGACTAAAAATAAATTAATGCTTTGAAATCTGCCCTTTGATAAGCAATGGTGCCTCTTTAAAAATTTGTGAATTTCATGGCTTTTGGATAAAAACACGAATCAAATACAATCACTGGAAAGTTGTTACATGATACTCAGGTGACCTATAAGGCCCGTGGGCCTCTTGTTTGGATAATATTCACTCATCCTTTTTAAATATGTAGCTCGGATTTTAATATTGTAATCGATAAACAAAATTTGTGAAACTTTCAGGATTACATAATTATTATTTCACATTATTATTATTTATTATTTTAGATTTCTTTGCCACCAGTTCGTGTTGAACTGGGCATATTTCATTGTACGCTGTGTACAAGTGGTAATTGCCTTCGTGTCCCCCTCGACAAACTTCCTTCACCAGTATATGCTGTGGTGGAAAAACTCCGTAAGCTTCTACATTTTTCTTCTCTTAGTAGAAATAAATTCCTATATAAGCATTCATGCAATCATACTGCGGGAAATTACCAACATTAAAATATTTCCAAGAATGAGAGATAAATTTCAAAGATAGCTTTTTAATTTCATTTATACTCAACTTGCTGCATAAAATTTTATATGCTTTTTCAATCAGTGCAAAAGAACATTTTATTTGTACCGTTAATTTCTTGGAAAAACGAGCTAGGCTTATATGTCTTGTTTCTGGTTTTCTTTCAGCTAAGTTATTAGAACTTAAAATAACGAGTACAGTTGCCCTTTCATTATGTGTCATTGGCTTTTTACTTCTTATGTTAAACTGTGGATCATCATCGAAGGTTAAAGCCGGTGGAATTGTTATACTTTTGGCTAGTAAGACTACAAATGTTGTGCCTCCAAATGGCTTTACATTATTTCAGTAATACGTACACTGATGATGTGTATATAATTCCAATTGAAAGAATTTTTTTTAATTCATCACATTTAACAGATATAAAAGATTTTTTAATACGCAACGAAAAGCATAAACGTAAATTATAGGATAATAAATAATGACTAAATCTTTTGAAGCAAAAAATTTCGCTAGGGTTAAGCTAAGCATTTTTCAAAATATATCATCAAAAGAAAAACAGAGGTTTCACGATAATGTTAATGATTTTTCCCTTTTTTAGACTACTTTATTATCTCTTATATTCTTTTACAGCTTTATCTGAATCCTTCTTGATTATACGAATGGTCGTTGCAACGGTTCAAGTGGCATTGGACACTGTGGAATCTACACTCAGTCTTTTGAACCTTAAAATCATAGAGATTGAAGTTCAAACACCCTTATCTATCATTCTGTCTGGTATCGGTCTGGTGTTTGTCATACTGGGCATGGTTTGCAGTCGTATTTTATACTCAAAACTACGAGAACCGTCCACAGATGGTCGAAAGATTGATGTTGTTTCTTCTATTCCTACTGTCAATCTTACTATCCAAGAAGGACGTTTTTAATTTTATGTAATCAGTTTCTTTTGGTTGTATTGTGTACAAGATGGTCTATGGGGTGTCTGTAATTGTTACTTGGTATGTCAATGTTTAAAGTATAAACCTTTTCCTCAGAAAATTTCCTACGAATACGAAATAATTTTTTTTATCATCTAATGACATCTAGGCACCTTAGTACGGTGCAAAAATATCTTCTTTTCATTGTAATACTTTGTTATAATTACTTTACTTTCCTTACTTTACTTTCAAACAAAATGTTCAAATCACTATAAAGCAATATAGTTTCAGAATAGATTTAATTGACCTCGAGGTCCATTTTTATCGAAAAAGCAGTTGTCTGTGATTTCACAAAATGTGGATTTTAATTTATCTCTGCTGTTTTAAGAGGTCCGTGTTTTCTTTGCTGCCGATTTATAAGAGAGTTTCAATGAATTTTTGAGCTTGATTGCTGTTCATTATCTGCATATTTCATTTGTATAAAGTATTTGACTTATTTACTCGGTGGGATATTTTGAGATTTCAAATTCTCAAAGAATTTCTAAATATCTACACATGAATATCTAATTTATACTAATTCTCCAAATATACTCTTTTACAGAACTTTTGAAGTTTGCCCTTCACTTCTATGTATATTTTAATGGAAAGTAAAGCAAAAAGTTCTGTAGAGCATTTACTGGTACCCGTAAATTCTGTTCCCCAAACGAAGTTGGGGAACATATTGTTTTTACTCTGTTTCTTATTATGTTCCCCAAACGAAGTTGGGGAACATATTTTGTTTTTACTCTGTTTCTTATTATTATTATGTTCCCCAAACGAAGTTGGGGAACATATTGTTTTTACTCTGTTTCTTATTATTATTATTTTTCTTCTTCTTCTTCTTCCTGGGTACTTTTTTTTCCGGGAGTGATCTTGTAAACTGTTGATCCGATGTAGGTAAAACCTTTTTAGGGTCAGTAGACATGTTATGTAGATTTGCGGAATCAAGGTCATTTTGTGCGCACGTGCTTGCAAGAGCGCACGTGCATCATGTGAAATGACCAATATAATGTATATTGCCTTAACTTTTCTTTTTTTTGATGAAATGCTTTGAAACTCATAGTGTAAAGATATATTAGAACTATAGACAAGATGACATGGTCAAAATAGCAAGATCTCACGCGCATGCACGTGCGCTTTGCTCTGATTGGCTGAAACTAAAGTCTCTATATCTTTCTTGTTTTTTGACGAAATCCTTTGAAATTTTGAACATAGCCATGCATTAGGATATCCTACAACATGGTATATAGCAATTATCATGAAAACATGTGCATGCACGTGCGCTGCAATCTGATTGGCTGAAACTTTAAATTGCTATAACTCCCTTGGTTTTCAACCAAACAGGATAAGATTTGGAACATAGATATATATAATCGACTTCTACAAGAAGGTATGGTCACCATGCACAGGCATACATGTGCGTGTACGTGCGCTGCAATCTGATTGGCTGAAACTTTAAACAGCCATAACTCCCTTGGTTTTCAACCAAACAGGATGGGATTTGGAACATAGATATATATACTGGACTTCTACAAGAAGGTATGGTCACTATGCACAGGCATACATGTGCGTGTACATGCGCTGCAATCTGATTGGCTGAAACTTTAAACAGGTATAACTCCCTTGGTTTTCAACCAAACGGGGTGTGATTTAGAACATAGATAGATGTAATGGACTTCTACAAGAATGTATGGTCATAATGCTCATGTATGCACGTGCGTGCACGTGAAATGGGTAAAATCAAAAATACACTTAAATGACCGTTTTTTTTTATATACTTTTGGATTATATTTAGCATATTAAAATATATAGATTGTGTAGACAATATGATATGGTCATTACGCACATGCATTCACATGCGCAAGTGTGCAATAATAAAATTTGAATGAACATGGTACACTTCTTGGTAAACGTTGTTAAAGTCTCAAATGCATAGAGTTTGTCTTATTTAATTACGCCTACAGGGAATATGATTATAAAAGGGAGTTGGGGAGCGTTTGGGGAACATCTGTAACGGTCCCCGTTACAATTAGCACTAGTTATTCTTATTCTTATTATTATTTTTCTTCCTGGGAAAATTTTGTCCGCGAGTGATCTTGTAAACTACACATCAGACTTAGGTGAAACCTTTTTAGGGTAAGTAGGCATGTTATGTAGATTTGCGGAATCAAGGTCATTTTGCGCGCACGTGCTTGCAAGAGCGCGCACGTGCAAAACTTAAAATGACCAATATATAATGGATATAACCGTAACTTCTCTATTTTGTGACGAAATGTTTTGAAACTTATAATGTAAGGATATATTAGTAATATGCACAAGATGACATGGTCAAAATAGCAAGATCGCACGCACGTGCACGTGTGCTTCGCTCTGATTGGCTGAAACTAAAGTCTCAATATCTTTTTTGTTTATTGATAAAATCATTTGAAATTTTGAACATAGTCATACATTAGGGAGATCTACAGCCTGTAATATAAGATTTTTCATGAAAGCATGTGCATGCACATGTGCTTGCAAGAGCTCGCACGTGCAACACGAGAAATGTCCAATATAATTGATACAGACGTAACTATTAAAATTATTGATTAAATGCTTTGAAACTCATTTTATAAGTATATATAAGTAGTATGCACAAGATGACATGGTCAAAATAGCAAGATCGCACGCGCATGCACGTGTGCTTCGCTCTGATTGGCTGAAACTAAAGTCTCTATATCTTTCTTGTTTCTTGGCATAATCCTTTGAAATTTTGAACATAGACCTACATTATGAAAATCTACAGCATGATATATAAGAATTTTCATGAAAGCATGCGCATGACCGCAACCTGAAATCTGATTGGCTGAAACTTTAAATGGCTAAATCTACTTTGTTTTTTGACGAAATGCTTTGAAATTTAAAACATTGTCATGCATTAGGACATCCTACAATATGATATAGAAAAAAATCATGAAATCACGCGCATGCACGTGTGCTGCAATCTGATTGGCTTAAACTTGAAATGGCTATAACTCCCTTGTTTTTCAACCAAACAGGATGGGATTTAGAATATAGATAGATGTAAGGGACTCCTACAAGAAGGTATGGTCATCATGCACGTGCACGCACGTGCATGCATTTGGAACGAGTGAAATGAAAAATACACTTGAAAGAGTGATTTTTCATACTTTTGGACTGAATGCTTTAATATATTGAATATTAAAATATGTAGATAGTGTAGACAAGATGATATGATCATAACGGACATGCATTCACATGAGCACGGGTGCAATGCTAAAATTTGAATATAATTGGTATCCTTCTGAGAAAACGTTGTTAAAGTCAAAATGCACAGAGTTTGTCTTATTTAATGAAGCTTACAGGGAATATGGCACCAAAAAGGAGTTGGGGAGCGTTTGGGGAACATCTGTAACGGTCCCCGTTACAATTAGCACTAGTTATTATTATTATTATTATTAAGGTCTTCCGTCTTCACGGAAGACCTTATAGTTATTCTATTGTTTCTTATTATTATTCTTTTTTTTTTAGACAAAATTTTGTGCAGACGATTTCTCGTAAACTATTCAATGGATTTCAATGAATGTTTCAGGAATTATAGGTCATTATATGAATTTTATATAAAATTCCGTTTGTTGGAAAATTCGCTACCAGTGCCAAGTTATGTGCAATTTCCTGATTTTAAAATGCAATTTTGTCTTCGAATGTTCTCAAAAACGGCTCAAGATATTAACTGGAGACTTGTTAGAGATGATAGACCATGCGTTGTAGATGTGCAATTTTGCCTTCGTTTGCGTCGTCAGTACTTCCGGTCGCTACAGGAAATGAATTCAAAATGTGCACTTTTTTAACTTTTTTGTTTTTCAATATTTTTCTTTGATATAATTAATGGTAATTAAGATCCTACTGGTAAGGCCAAATATTTAATTTATTTAAGAATTGATCAATCCACACACTAGATATTCGCATTTAAAAATCTGAAGCGTGTCCAAGATGGCGGCGGTCTCCGTAAACTCCGCCATTAAGCAAGTCGGGTTCTAGAAGGTCAGCTGAGCGTTTAGATGAACGGAACTTCTACCAAAAAGATTTATGAAATGTAAAGGATTCTTTAGATTGCTACATCGCAATTACGTTGCATTGACTATAGTTTGATGAGGTTTCCTCAAACTTCTATTGAAATTGCTTTTGTCTGCATCTAATAGTAGAATACAACATGACTACAAGTGGAAATACGATGAATACAGTCTTTTGTTTTGCACCAGGGAAAACTTATCCTAAACCATGGTTATAATTAATAGCTTTTCAAGAAACTTGCCTGACTTAATATTCACTATGTTTCTGAAGTATTACTTTACTTCTGTTTATTTTACCTCGCAGTCTTATGACATATTAAATGAATAGAAAAGACAAAAATAAGAAAAACATTTTTTTAAAAAGATTGTTTATTAAAGGTAATATAAATATTCTTGTAATAAATGCAAGTTATTGAACATGAAAAGTATCAGATTCCTTGACCGTCGGGGGTAAACAGGATACAAAATTCGTGGAAAATCTCACCGAATTCACAGCTTTAGTGTTATTTGGCCGTATACGATATTATATTTGTACCATGTGATAAATATACTTTCTTACGCTCGAAATTCCGGTTATAAGAACATACATTTCTAATTTTCATTGAAGCTATCAGATCCATTAAATAGATCAAACATTTCAAAGGAATAGCGCGAAGAACTACTTGTGACGTTTGGCACGATATAATGTATCATGGCCGACTTCAGTAGTAGACAAATGGCGACAATAGTGCAGAAATATATAACATAGGCATGCCTGTATATGGTTTTGCATGGAATAAAAATTTGAATACATATCGAATAAAGGAAAGAAAACAGTATCATCTGTTCATCACTAATAAATTATCTATCCTAAAAATTACTGTTAAAACTCAAGTACATGTAACAAGTTCCGATGTGATCATCTTGAGCAAGTTTGGCACGAAGATTAACTCGTGGCGTTTAACGCAAAATTATGAATAGTGACCGCCTTTCATTATTCTAAGACAGATGAAATGTTTCAGAAGTAATATACAAGTAGATTTAGAGATGTGGTCCCAATAGC